TTTTTCTCTTTTCTTAATTATTTTATCATCCACGATTTATTGTATTGATTTGAAAGCTCTTACTAAATTATTGTTATAATAACAAAACCCCCCCATGATTCAATTTCAAATCTCGAGAATCAAATTAAGGTGGGAGGTTCTCTTAAACATGATTAAATAGTCAATAAATCTACACGTTTTAGTGGATTAATTAGAGTAAATTTAAGTATTTATACTGAATAATTAAAACTTACCTCATTTGATACTATTTTAAATATATAATTGAATGATCAATGAACTTAAAGTTTAAGTTGATTAATGAGGATAAATTTAATAGTTATATTGGATATCTAACATATTCAAATCTTCGTATTCCTATGTTTGTTGTACCAAGAGAAATAAAAAATAGCCCTTGTTTGATTGATTTTTGTTTGAATGTTGTGGTTTTTTATGCGCTTAGGTTTACTTTACTCTCGTGTAATATTTGATTTCATTAATTTATTGGCCAACTTTGAAAATAAAATAAAATAAAGAGGATAATTTGGATGGGAGCGATTGGAGTTGTATGTGGGGGAGATCAATTTATGTACTTGCATTAAGATTCCCATATCTCTTTGTGATTGAATTTGCTTTTTTTGAGGCAATCTTGTTAGTTACTCGAACATCTATGTTTGTTTTGGTACATCAAGGAATGAGATAGAGAATTGAACTCATATATTTCAGTACAGTCAAAGGTTGGTGTCTTAACCAATTGAGTTATGTTTAAGTTCACATTTGACAATCTTCAATTATCCCGTTTTTCTTTTATTTTTTATAAGTGAAAAATTTTATCATCTTATTTCTTTTAATTTCCGTAGCTACAATGAGCTACCTGTTAAAAATCGTGGTAGATTATCTAAAAAGGCAACAAATGTCACTATTATAAACGATGCCACATTAGAACCATTGCTCTAAATAATATATTTATAAAAGATATATGTTTTTAATTGTTTATAGTTCCTCACGACTGTCTGCAGGGCTATGCTCTATAGAACTATATTCAAACTAATAAAATTGAGACCATGTTAAATAAAGAAGGCAAAAAAAAGATAGGTCAATTTTAGTTGCCTTCAAAATATGGGTAATCAAAAGTCAAATTTTAAAATAGTGAAGATTTTCAAGCGGGGTCAAATTTAATAAATTTAGGTGGGTTTTAGGTTCACTTGGTTTGGGTTTGGGTTATTTTTATGGAGCTTTGTTATTTTATTTTATTGATAAAGAAAATAATATAATTATCTAAAATTTATTATGAAGTCAAACGAAATTAAACTCCGCGCTGTCGAGAGTTGAAGTAGTCTAATAGAATATTAATACCAACCATAAATACATCTCAATTGAGTTTTGTCTTTTTAATTATAATTCTTTTTCTTTTATCAATTAATTAATATCACACCTTAATCGAGAGATACTCTTTTCTTCTGTTCACTCCCCGAAATAAATAAATAAACTACTTGAATACTGAGTAATAGATCTTCAAATATGGATCCAAGCAAATTTTCTATTTCAAAGTGAGTTGAAATGTGTTTGTCTCGGTGGCTTCAATTAATCTTTGGGTAATACAAAGTTAAAAAAGTATAAACTTCTTCCTCGAATTTCACGACCTTTTAGTGTCACCCAAAAGATTGAACCATTATAAATGTGTTATCGCTTAATTATATACCTATAATATTATGTTTTAATTATCTAGTTAAAGTAGGATTTTGATCGTCGCAAACCTAACAATGTCTATATATCCTAAGATATTAAAATTTTATAAATTTTCTAACAACCCAACATAGGATTGTGAAATTAGTAAATACATACGTAGATGGGTCGATTGCTTGTGGATATTTAAAAACACATACATACAAACGAGAGAGGGAGAAACGAATATGATATTAAATTTTCATTGACAAATTGACATTTACTTTATGTATGTGGATTCGACATGAACTTAAGAAGCAAATCGACATTTGCAATATGTTGAAAAGAATCGATGAAATAATAGAAAAGATAAACTTTAACAAAATATCGCAAAAGTAGACATAACAATAACGATAGTGCTTATTTGTCTTTTAAGTAGAATAATGGTGTATGGAGTGATGATAAAGACAGTAATTTTGAAAGAAAAAAAAAGAGATTTAAGTATAATTTATTTTTTAAATTGATCGTTGAAGTGATACCTTAAAGAATAATTTTAAACTTTTCTAATATCATTTTTTTTACTTGACAAATATAATCGATTAAAAGAAACGTGATGATTTTGACGACCCTCAAACACATCCTGATAGATGTTAAAGTAATTTTAAAGTGATACCTTAAAAATCAATTTAAAATAATTTAAAAAATTTCTAATTATTTTTTTATTTGACGAACACGATGGATAGAAAGAAAATTGATATCCTAATAAATGTTAGATGAATATTTAACTGATTATTATTTGTTGATGTTTATCATTTCTTAAAAAAGAATATCGGATCAAAATCAATATTTGATCGATAATTCAATTAAATTGAGACATGGACGTGAAAACTGACGTTTAAAATTAGTTAAAAGAACGAAAACGTTTGGGGAGGGGTATAAGAGTAAGATTAAGATGGGCCACCCTAGGGCTAGGGCTAAATTAAAGGGCAGAAGCGTAATTTAAGGCATCCTTTCCCTTCCTAACGGCACAGATTCCAAACTACCGTTTACCAACGAACAAAATAGGGACACGTGTAAAATATTTCGCTATCTAAGACTTAAGAGAGAGAAACGGTTGAGAAAAAGCATGTGCAGGTGGGCCCATCCTTGTTTAAAGTTTTCGGACACCTCCATGTGCTCCTCTTTCTTCTCCTTAATCCCATTCCCACTTCATAAACTTAAACAAAAACCAACCAAAAAAATAAATAAATAATCACTTTTAACTCTCTCTCCCTCTCACTTTTTCTTTTTTTAGTTACCCATTTGCTCCATATAATTTTAAAACATTCTCCTTAATTCTTTGGTTTCATTTTGGTTTTTATAATTTTAATCTAATAGTAAAAGATCTCGACGTCAAGTCATGAAAGGAATAAAGAAACTAGTTGTTGAGGCAAGATTCTACTCAACTAATGCAGATTGGCCCCATGATAAAAAGGATGAGCTGATGAGGTAAGACGTTTAGGCAAGAGACCGGTAAAAGAAACAAACACTTTGATGTTCAAGTCAATGTAGGCGCGAGCTACAGTAAGTCGTTCTCAGAATTGAATTACGTACACGAGGTTATGAGGTAGGGTGTCTCTTTTATAGACAGGAGCAAGGCTCTTACAACCACTTCGACCAGTGGTTATGATTGTCGGGCCTAAGGTCGGAACCCTTAGGTCGGTTGAGTGAGATCATAGTTCTCAGCTCGGTGTTGAGTTAAGTTAGACTATACAGTTGGTCTTGTTTATCGTCTTCAATGGTTCGAACTGAGTAGCTAAATCCACGTGTAATGGCGTAAAATTCCCTCCAACACCTGTGAAAAACAAATGAAACACGATCAAGAAGAATAATAACATACTCACAAAATACAAACAATATAACAAACACAACATACATGAAAACTGAACAAAAAATGACAATATCACAAATTACTCTTCATATTATATGTTTATATTTTTCTTTTTTGAAAATGAAATGAGCCAACGTAAAAATAGTTCAATAATTAAGACATGTTTAGAGACACGTAAAGACATGGAAGTGGTAGATTCAATTATTCGTTCTCATATTAATTGATTGTGTATGTGGGCAAAAACAATATATAGAATATTAGAATCCCAACTAATAAGAACCAAAATTTATAATTAAACTTTTTTTTTCCTCTTCTTCCTTTTGATTCTTCTCAATCTGATTCTCCACCACAATTATAGGCAACTTGTACATTTCTCCAATCCAACTGCCTCACTTTTTCCCCTATTTATATACCCCTTCCCATTTCTCCACACACTACAACACACAACAACACAAAAACTTCACTCTCTTCTCCTCCTCCTCCAATGGCCGCCGCACCAATCTCCGCCCTCTCGCTTCTATTACTAGTTTCCCTTCCAATAATCTACGCCGACTACGGCC